TATAAAGAAGGCTGACCGCCATAGAATTGCTGCTTTTGCATTGTGGTGCTGGAGGAGACTCTTGAGCGTCCCCTGGACTGCAAGGAGAACAAACTTGTCCATTTTGAAAGAAATCAACCCTGAGTGCTCACTGGAAGGACAGATCCTGAAGCTGAGGCTCCAATACTTTGGCCATCTCATGAGAAGAGAAGACTCCCTGGAAAAGATCATGATGTTAGGAAAGTGTAACGGCAAGAGGAGAAGGGGATGAAAGAGGACGAGATGGTTGGACAGTGCCACCGAAGCTACCAACATGAATTTGACCCAACTCCGGGAGGCAGTGGAAGACAGGAGAGCCTGGCGTGCTCTGGTCAATGGGGTCACAAATTGTCGGACATGACATAATGACTAAACAACAAAGAAGGATTTTACAGCTCTGTCACGAATTGTGGGACATGACATAATGACTAAACAACAACAGAGAAAGGTCTTCTTTGCCAAGCAAAGCTACCAAAGCAGTGCACAGCTAAATTGGAGCATAGAAGCAGAATAGAAACAACACATTATCTGAAGCAAGACACAAAGCAATTTTATATGCCAAGCACTTGATGGAATGATAGAGTTTTGACTATCTTTGAAAACCTCATGGCTTAGGTGAACTACTTGTAGCAACTGTTTATTGAACCAATCCTCTGGAGCTATAAAATTATGGAGTGCAGCTCAGTGGGTTTGGAGTGCCTGGCTATAAAGTTGGAGTCAGGAGTTTCAATCCCCCCATGATGCCCGGGAGAGATGTCAGGCAAGATTGGTCACCCAGAACTTGTGTGACTGATGAGATTATATCCCCTGAGACCTATGTAGTCTTTTGCAAGGTGTGTGGTCCCAGAGTGCCACCAAAAGGAGACAATGGGAAACCACGTCTGAGTACTTTAGGTGCAGAAACCCTGAGAGGGTTGCCTTTAGTCGGAACTGACTTGACAACATATAATTATGAATAGAGAGTAGAGTGGGATGGCAGAAAGAAAAACACTTCCTTTTTTCCTAATTCATTATTCTCTGTGAGACTTTTTGTAGCTTTCCAGTTGTACAGTGATTACAAACTGATAAACTGTCTTGATGCATGTTTAAGAAACTCAACATATTTTATGCCTCTGTGTGACAGCCTCCTCACACGTCACAGAGGAGGTGTCACGTCACTCTCTCACACACACTATAATCACGCTGCCACCAACCACTCCTTCATAAGACTCTTCAGACAAATAAATGACTTTTAAAATAAAAACTTGTATTTTATTGATAACAACAGAAGGAATGGTAAATCACTTTATCAATTAAAATAAAAAGACAATCAATAAAAATAAAGTATCCCCTCATACACACTCTCTCTCAGGCCTTCACTAACACAGTACTTTATAACATATACAAGCCCTAACTCCCTAAGTCCCTACCAGACCCTATCCAAGCCCTATCTGGTTCATATCATGTCCCTATCTTGGACCCTATCTAAGCCCTATCTGACTCACACATCATTCACTCCCCCCTTAAATACCATAGCTCCACCCTCTGAAGTCCCACCTCCCGTCATGCTATAGGCAGATAAACTCTAGCTACAGCAGTGACGGGCAGATGACATCATCGCTACCGTCACACTCTGCTTCCAAAGTTATCTGCTTGTCTTATGGTTTTAATGCCAAAGCCTTAGGCAGAATAATAATCATATTGTGCCACCAAGTCAATTCTAATTTACGTTGATCTTTTTCATTTGGAGAATACTTAGAAGTGGTTTACCACTTTCTTCTTCTGGAGGTGCCATGGGGCTGTGCAGCTTGCCCTAGGCCATAGATGGTTCTTCTGGGATGCACAGCGGAGAATTAAAATCCCAGTCTCTGGCTTTGCAGCTATCCAGCCAGTTTTAATATTTAAACATACATGAATGAAAACAACCCCTGTTACAATCAGTGGGACTTAAACCTAAGTGAATATGGTTAGGACCCAAGCTGCTTTAATTGTAGTTAATCTGGAGGCAATGCAGAAAACTGTGCTTTTCAGTGCATTTAACTTAAACATGCTTCTTTGGATTCCATCGAGAGAGCCAAGGTAATATTATTCAGACTCAGTCAAGTGGTGCACATTTTCCCTGCCCCAGTTCTGACTTCCAACTTTGATTAAAATCACATTATAATAAAAAAATATATCCCAGCCAGGTATAGACTTATAGAGAGTCCTGCTTCCATGTTGTTAATTGCTTTGCCTCTCTATGAAGAATAAATATTCACAACAGTTCTGGACAATTGAATATATTTGTTTTTAAAACAAATGAGAAATCAAAGAGATGAGCACTGTCTCAGTGAGAACAAAAGAGAATCTCTGCTGAATCAAATCAAAGGCCTATCATGCCCCACATTCTGTTCCCACAGTGGCCACTCAGGGAACAGATGGCCACTGGAAGGCCATCAAGCAGGACATAAATGGAATATCACCCCAATTTGTTTTCCACATCAACTGGAGGTAATATATAACCATCCTGGCTGATAGCCACATGCTAGTTTAAACCGTTACTTGTGTGGTACAAAATTACAAAGTTTGATTGTGTGCTATGTAGAGGCACATTTCTTTTTATTTCTCCTGAATTTCCCACCATTCAGCTTCAGTGGATGATTCCATGTGAAAGAGGTTGGGGGAGGTGGACTGGCCGTATCCATTTTGTCCCCACTGTGCATAGTTGTAAATACAGTCATGTGAAGCAGAAAGTACACCTTTGAATTCTATGGTTTTACATATAAGAACATAATAAAAATCATCTGGTCTTTAACAGGTCTGAAAATTCAGTTAATATAACCTCAGATGAACAACAATGCATGACATATTATACTGTGTTATGATTTATTTAACAAAAATAAAGCCAAAATGGAGAAGCCATGTATGAAAAATGAAGTACACCTTATGTTTCAATAGCCTGTAGAACCATCTTTAGCAGCAATAACTTAAAGTAATCATTTTCTGCATGACTTTATCGGTCTTTCACATTGTTGTTGAGGAATTTTGGTCCACTATTCTTTACAACATTGTTTCAGTTCACTGAGGTTTGTAGGCATTTGTTTATGCACAATTCTCTTAAGGTCCTTTCACAGTATATAAATCTAGTTGAGGTCTGGACTTTGCCTGGGCCATTGCCACACCTTGATTCTCTCCCCCACCGCCCAAGTCATTCTGTTGTAGATTTACTGGTGTGCTTGGGATCATTATCCTGTTGCATGACCCAATTTTGGCCAGGCTTTAGCTGTTGAACAGATGGCCTCACACTTGACTCTAGAATACTTTGGTATACAGAGGAGTTCATGGTCAACTCAATGACTGCAAGGTGCCCAGGTCCTGGAGCTGCTAAACAAGCCCAAATTATTACCCCTCCACCACTGTGCTTGACAGTTGGTATGTTTGTGCTGATATGCTCTGTTTGGTTTTTGCCAAATATGGTGCATTATGGCCAAATATCTCCACTTTGATCTCGTCTGTCCTAAGGACATTGTTCCAGAAGTCTTGTGGTTTCTCCAGATGCAACTTTTCAAACCTAAGCTATGCTGCCATGTACTTTTTAGAGAGAAGATGCTTTCTCCCGGCAAACCTTTCAAACTCAATTCAAAGAAAGTGTACTTTCTTTTTCACATGACTATACTCCTGTGGTGTGTCTACTTTTTTGTTATTAAACTGAATAGCTTCAAACATTGCAACTGTCCCTCATCTTTGCTTTTTTTGGGATGGGATTTCCAACAAATGAAAAAGAAATATTGTTTTTTAGTTCATTTATTTTTAAGTCTTTTGCATGGGAAACATTTTTCTAGATTGAAGAAATAAGCTAGAACAGAAACCACCAATGAACATGAGACCCCAGAAAGCTCTATTTAGACAACAGGCGGGCTGTGTCTGTGTACATGTTAAAATAGAAGATATTATAATATGTGTACAGACCTTTGAAGGAAAGGGTCAGAGCCTGAAAGGATCCAGTTTGTTGGGAGAACAGTAGGATGCCTGGAGAATTAGTGACACCGGAATAGAACAAAACTTTAAGAATCCAAAGTTACAGATTCAAAAAATCCATTAATGTGCTATTGAAATGGGGAACAGTGAACAAACATAATGGGACATTTTCCTTAGTGGAAAAAGCAGGGTAAGAGCAGTAAAAACAAAACACACACAATCATCATCATCATCATCATCATCATCATCATCATCATCAACAACAACAACAACAACAACAACAACAACAACAACAATAACAACAACATTATTCCTGGACCACAATCCTAATCCTGTTTGTGCTCAAAGAGAGGAGCAATCTGACCTGCAGTGCCATGCCTGGTCTGTTGTTTGTTTGGTGTGATGTCATGTGCTGGAGTTAGAAACCGGTGGCAACTCTGAAGTCTGGAGGCTTTTGAGGGCAGAGCTTTTAAGTGTGATGACCCCTCAGACTGTGCCATGAAAGATGCACCAAGCTGAGGGAGGACATATTTTTTATTGCTCACTCTAGCTCTGGGTTAGAGTGATTTTATGTGAACAGCTAATAAATTCAATTCAGTATTATTTTATGACAGCAGCTATAAAATTTGGGTAGGAGTCTGAGTAGTTCAAATTGGTGACTCACATGTCACAGGGGCAGTGAATCCACTGCAGGTTTTAGTGTGAAGTTGAAAGGGGCTATCCAAGATGCTGCATCAGTTTTGGGAATAGTGTTCAGCACCTTGGAAAGCTACTGTAAAGTTCATACTAAAATCCAGAGCAGATTTACAAAATTCCAACACTGCAGTCACCCATCTCCACTGGATCTGAGTCTGTGAATTACAAAATGTAAAGTTTGAGAAGTTTGTATATAGCGATGCTTCCTGGATTTCTGACTGTGTGGTTACATAGTGATTAATTTGTAAAAATGACAAATTTCACAGGAATTGTGCAAACATTATCTCATATGCTTCCCTTTGCTTTTTACTTGCCTTCTGATTTAACTATGTGTTTGTTTTGTTCCTCAGGATCTGATCAAAGATGTGGGCATCACATTGTCTTACTTCCTGCTGACTTTATTTTTCCTTGGCTTGCTACTCATAGGAACATTGGTAAGTTGACATCCTGGATGTTTTCAGTTCTGATTAAAGGATTTGCTAAATAAATTAGTACCTTCAGAGAATATTCAGCTGAGACTGCCTTGAGAATATTCAGCTGATACAGTTGGTGGAAAATAGTTAGTACTGCTCTAATAAGCATTAGCAATTCACATGCATATGCTATGAGCAGGTTGTTATATGTACATGGTTGTTAGGCTCATTCTAGGACATTGGACAATTGCAGGATTTTCTTTGGTACTTTGGCAGAAAGTGTATTTAAAATAATTCACTAAGGATGGTAATTAAAGTTAATACCTCTTTCAGTAAAATACGCCGGAGTGGGTAGTGAGATTAGGCTTGCTGTACAATTGCCTTTGGGTTTTGCTGAGGCTTTTCTTAGCCGGATACATTGTGCGATCAAATAATAAGCTTCCAGTGAATGAATGAAGCTATGCACACTAGAGTGGAAAGGGCAAACTGCTAAATTCACAGTGAACTGTGTAAAATTCAAGTAATTTGCACAATGAACCATCTAAAACTATGGAACAACCCTAATCGCAGTAAGTGATGTTCTTATCGTGATTAGACATATTGAATTTTCTGCAGGGTTCCTCAATCAGTGTCCCCCACCATTTTAATTAAGAAAGAAATTAGTAGAGGAGAATTATTTCCACTGTGTAATTATAGACATCATTTATATTATGTAAGTTCACTTGGTCTATCAAGTTATCAATATGCTTAGTGAGCACAAGCTGCAGGAAGTGCTATCATATCACCCCTCAGCCTTCTTTTCTCAAGGCTAAACATGCCAAATTCTTTCACCCTCTCCTCACAAGGCTTGGTTTCCAGCCCCCTGATCATCCTTGTTACCTTCCTCTGAACTTGTTCCAATTTGTTAGCATCCTTCTTGAAGTATGCTGTCCAGAACTGGACACAATACTCAAAGTGAGGCCTAACCAGTGCTGAACAGAGGGGAACTAGCAACTCATGGGATTTTGAGACCATACTTCTGTTAATGCAGTCTAAAATAGCATTAGCCTTTTGTAACAATCCCCTTCTAGAGAACTCTTAGATTTTTAAGTCAGGAAGAGGAAGTGATCAAGAACAGAAACTTTGGTAACTCACTAGACTACAATTGGGGGGGGGGACAGTGATATAAAACTGCCATTCTCATGTTATTTGAAGGAAGCTTGTAGTGTAAAGGCTTCTGCCAACCTAGTAGTTCAAAAGTATGTACAGTAAAAACGTGAGTAGATATATACATACCACCACGGTGGGAAGGTAACAGCGTTCCGTGTCTAGTCGCGCTGGCCACATGACCACGGAAACTGTCTTTGGACAAACGCTGTCTCCATGGCTTGGAAATGGGTATGAGCACCACCCCCTAGAGTCAGACACAACTGGACTAAATGTTAAGGGGAACCTTTACTTTTACCTTTTTGTAGTGTAAAGTAAGAGTTCTCATTATCCTTTGTAAGATGGTATATAATTTCAGTTCTCATGAGCAAATTTGGCACTATAAAACTGATGCACGTGCTGTATAGGTAGCCCCTTTGGGTTTGCCCAGAGTAGCTTTCCTATCATATTTCAGTTCACTTCCCTTCTGTCCTGAGGAAAGATAGTAATGTTGGTTTTCTCCATTGGCACAAGGAAAGGTAAAGGTTCCCCTTAAAATTTGTCCAGTCGTGTCTGACTCTAGGGGGCGGTGCTCATCTCCATTTCCAACCCATAGAGCTAGTGTTTGTCCAAAGATAATCTTCCATGGTCACGTGGCCAGCACGACATAGGCACAGACCATCCAAATTTAATTTATGCTGAAGGAAATTGGAAGTCAAAATTAGCAAGATTAGTTAGGTGTTGAAAGAAAAAGAAATTGCTGGTGATGGAAGAACAAAAGAAAGGGAAGAAAGACAGCTGACATTCCTTTCAGACCAAGCATGCAGGAGTACATTTGTTGTAAAGGAAATGAATTCAGTAAAAACAGGGAATAGAAACTGGAGTGCAGATGGTGACAGATCATGAAATGCTGTGGAAACAACAAAATACTTGAGTAATTCTCTGTGGCAGGTCATGATGGAAAACTGCTAATATGGATACATAGGTACCCTGTGAGCACACACCCATCACAAGTTATCCTGTTTCTAACATGGACTTCTTTCAACTTTCTTTGGAAGCTTCCAACAGATTGGATGTGCACCTCCCATAACTTATCTTACTGCTGAATGCTCCAAGGTGGGAATTTAATTGTAATTTCCCTCTACTTCATTCCTTCTTGTTCTGTCACCTGTGGGTGGAGTAATTGCTCTCCTCCCACTTTCTGAAAGATGTTGAAATATTTAGAAACTAGGTTCTAGTGGTCCCCAAATTTCCATATCTTAATATCCCATAAATTGCTGTATTCTTGCTTGAAATCCAGTAGGATTTATTTGTTTGTTTGTTTGTTTAAATTAAATTAAATTTAATTTATTTAGTATACTTCCCATTTAGCAAATTGCTGCTCTGGGCAGTATACAACAAAAATGAAAATTTATATAATACAGTATAAATTATGTAAAAATTAGCCCATCGCAACTAGAGTAGACCCATGAAATCAATGAAACTTATGGAGGCACTGACTCACCAAATTCTCACTGATTTAATAGATCTATTCTGGTTGCAATATACTACTGGATTTCAGCCAGATAATCTGTTCCTACCAGATAAAAATATAATTAAATAAAATAAAATACCAAGATAGAAGCAAAGCGTTAACTTCCCCTGAAAAGGATATTGATATGTTTTTTGGGCATCTGTCACTATTATTATTTAAGGACATAAAAACTGCAATCATTCTGTTGGGAGTAGACACAAACAGACTGAAATAATTCCACTAGTAGTTAGAAACTGTTATGAAAAACTTGCATCCCACAGCTGGTAGCTATGACACCAGATGAGCACCACCATTCTCTTCAAACCTATCAGCCTAATCTGTGAATAGGATAGCAGAATGGAATGTAATAAGTCAGTCCAGTGCTCTTCAACATTTTTATTAATGACTTGGATTAGGGAGTGTAGGGAATGCTTGTCCAATTCGCTGATGACACAAAATTGGAATAGCTAATACCCTGGAAGAGAAAAACAAAATTCAAATGATCTTTATAGGCTGGAGCACTGGGCTGAAAACAACAATGAAATTCAACAGTTATGAGTATTGCATCTCAGAAAAAGAACTCAAATGCACCGTTACAAGATGGGGGATACCTGGCTCAGCAACACTATAAACAAGAAGGATCTTGGAATTTTCATAGGTCACAAGCTGAATATGAGCCAACAGTGTGATGAGACTACAAGAAAGGCAAATGATATTTTAGGCTGCATTAACAGAAGAATGGTTTCGAAATCCCATGAGGTGCTAGTTCCCCTCTATTCAGTACTAGTTAGGCCTCCCCTTGAGTATTGTGTCCAGTTCTGGACACCACACTTCAAGAAGGATGCTGACAAATTGGAACAGGTTTAGAGAAGGACAAAAAAGATGATCAGGGGGCTGGAAACCAAGCCTTATGAGGAAAGGCTGGAAGAATTGTTTAACCTTGTTTAACCTTGAGAAAAGAAGGCTTGAGAAAATATGATATCCCTTTTCAAATATCTGAAAGGCTGTCATTTAGAGGAGGGGCAGGATCTATTCTCGATCATCCCAGAGTGCAGGACACGCAACAATGGGCTCAAGTTACAAGGAGCCAGATTTTGGTTGAATATCAGGAAAACTGTTAGAACAGTACAGCAATGGAACCAATTACCTCAAGAGGTGGTGAGTGCTCCAGCACTGGAGTCATTCAAGAAAAACTTAGATAATCACCTAGCAGGTATGCTTTCATTGTATTTCTGCACAGAGCAGGGGATTGTGCATGATGTCCTTATAGGCGCCTTCCAACTTCAGTATTCCCTGCACAGAGCAGGGGATTGTGCATGATGGCCTTATAGGCGCCTTCCAACTTCAGTATTCTATGATTCTATGTGCTCTTGAGTAATGTCTTACTCGTCATAAATAGAGCAGTCTGATTCTATGATTCTATGTGCTCTTTAATGTCTTACTCGTCATAAATAGAGCAGTGTGAGTATTTCTCAGGATATGGAAATCAAAAGTATGCTGAATCCTCTAGCAGGGGGCAGGTGATTCTGTGAATTTAATTTGATGATACTCTTTGGTTGCAGATTTCTTCCACATTCCTCCAACTACATGTAAGAGCTAAGAAAGACTACACCAACAATAGGTTTCTTGAGATGAAACTAGCACTTTAATTAAGGTCTGATGAATCACTTAAGAATTGATGGAAGGAAGCTGCCCTTGCACAATTAAGAATTGGATACAGAGCCTCTATACATCAGTATTTGTTAAGACTGGAGGCCCCATATGCTTTGTGCCATTGGTTCTCTACTACTAAACATTTCCTACTGCAGTATCCAGAATTACTGATACAGCTTTCTGAAAACCTAGTTTCTTGTTCCCATTTTAACCATAGTTAAAGCACTGCTGATCTTAACTGATGAGCTTTTGTCAAGTTCCTGAGTTCTACTGTTATATTTTAAAACAAACTGTTACAATTATAGCCAATGGGCCATTGATGAGAGAATGTTCCAGTCGTTGTATCAAGACAAGAGTGAGGTACAATATAGAAAGTGGCATTAACTTCAATGTACCTGTCTACCTTCACTTTAAAATATGGGGATGAAGCCACATTTCAATGCACTCTCCTCCAAGTTAAAATATCCACTTCTTCTTGCTCTTTAGCCTTGCTAAGCTGAACCAAGTTCCCGATGGAGAGATTCTTTGGCTGGAGTTCTTAAGAAAGTTGAAAATGTTTTGGATAAATAACTTAGTGGATCAGAATGCCTGGCTGGCCTTGATTCAGTTCCCCACTATGCCTTGTAGAAGAGCCAGCCTATATAGCCTTGGGCAAGATACACAATCCCAGGGTGTCCCCGGAGGAAGGTACTGGGAAACCACTGAATATACCTAGAAAACCTTGAAAGGGTCACCATTAGAATCAATTTGGCAGCATAGAATTATTATTATCACTTTTTACGGTGTATGTATGCATTTCTTTAGTTCTCTTGCCTCTCTGCTAGTATATTTTTGGAACAGCATAAGAATCCAATTATATGGGGCAAAAATAAGACAGGTTTACAGATTGTGGTTGATCCTTTTTATAATAACAATTGTTGTGAACCGCCTAGAGTGTGGTAGTCAGATGGGCAGTAAAGAAGCTGAACGAACAACCAACCAAACAAACAAACAACAAACCATTGGCATGCCAGGAGGGCAGGGTCTCCTATCATCCTCTCTCTAGAATCCACGCGTAGTCACAGTCTATAACCTGGGCTTACACATAGTTTTTGAGAATCCAGTGACGATCAGGCATTGTGGAATACCTGGCTGGCCTTGATTCAATTCCCCACTATGCTTTGTAGAAGAGCCAGCCTATATAGCCTTAGGCAAGATACACAATCCCAGGGTGTCCCCGGAGGAAGGTACTGGGAAACCACTGAATATACCTAGAAAACCTTGAAAGGGTCACCATTAGAATCAATTTGGCAGCATAGAATTATTATTATCACTTTTTATGGTGTATGTATGCATTTCTTTAGTTCTCTTGCCTCTCTGCTAGTATATTTTTGGAACAGCATAAGAATCCAATTATATGGGGCAAAAATAAGACAGGTTTACAGATTGTGGTTGATCCTTTTTATAATAACAATTGTTGTGAACCGCCTAGAGTGTGGTAGTCAGATGGGCAGTAAAGAAGCTGAACGAACAACCAACCAAACAAACAAACAACAAACCATTGGCATGCCAGGAGGGCAGGGTCTCCTATCATCCTCTCTCTAGAATCCACGCGTAGTCACAGTCTATAACCTGGGCTTACACATAGTTTTTGAGAATCCAGTGACGATCAGGCATTGTACAAAGGAGGAAGTGCTTTCACTTTTGGCATCAATACAGACTGTCCTCACATGGAATGGCTCCACTGTATTCAATGTCTGTGCCTAGTAGGTTCCATAAAACCCTCTGTCTCAGTGTGAAATTATAATAGCCGTTCCTCTTGTGACATTCATAAGAAAGCATTGTATAGTGTTTTCCTATTCCCTTTTAGTCCAGCTCTATTATGTAGAGGTATAATAAACCCACTGAACACTAAAAGGGCACGCCCTCTTTAAATTATGCATAGCCATATTATACTTCCTATCCAGAAGGCTTTAAATGCTGCCTCTTTTCCCATAGGTTTGGTATCTTTTAAAACCCCATCCAGATCCCCTTTTCCCCCTTCGAGAAGACAGGCGGCAGTCTGTAAGCCGCCAGCCTTCATTCACCTACTCAGAATGGACTGAGGACAAGAATGAGGATGATTTTCTTGATCTGGACCCTGTTCCAGAAACACCGGTGTTTGACTGTGTGATGGACATGAAAGCAGAGACAGATCCAGCAACCCTGACAGTTAAATCTGTGGGACTGCAAGAAAGGTAGGATACTGTACTACATGAGGAAACATGCAGGTTTGTTACAGGAATGTGCAAGTTTAGGCATTCCACGTGAATCAACCCAGTAACAACTTGATTAATTGGTGATTTCTTTTTCCAAAGTGAAAGAGGTAGATTCATTAGTTACGTCATCTGTTGATTTGTCCTTCCCCAGTAATACCACACATGTCCATTGTAGAACCCTGTTGCAGAATGACAGTTCCTGCTCATTTTTTAAAAAAAACAGAATTTAACCTAACAAAACTGAATTGTCCGCTTTGATGAACATGATCAATCTGTCATCGATCGAGTGTACTATTAAGCACTAGGATCTCCTGCCATTTGTGTTTTGACCAGTAGGAGCCCCACTGGGCTAGTTTGAAAAGCAGGAATATCACGCTTAGGAAATAAAATGGTTTAATTCTCTCCTCATATGCCCTTTCCGTGATGCCATTATCTATCCTCGTACCCTCAGTTGGTGTTTGCCCTACTGGGATGGACCACACAGAGTGAGATACTGTTCTTATAATTTTTACCTCTGCTGAAAGATGATTGATTGGCATCTGGAAGAAGGCAAGGACAGGATGGAAGATTACCTCCAGACCACCAGATTCTTGGTCTTCCAAGCAGATCAGCCCAGAGAACTGTTAATTTGAAAAAGCAGAAGTCACAGACAATCATGCTGTTGCATTTGATTGGTGAATGGGGAAAGCTTTGAGATGTAGAATTTAGATTGTTTGGTGCTGGCTCCTAAGTAAGAAAGATGGTAGACTGTGAGTAAAAATAGTATATCATGTTGTGCTTTTTATGCTAATTGTGTGGGGTTTTTTAAAAAAATGTAATGTAATGATAACGATTTTGTAATGTCATAATTTTGGCATTTAATTGTCAATGTATTTTAATTCTGTTTTAATTGTTGTAAGCCACCCAGAGACCTTTGGGTAGAGTGGGCGGCATATAAGTTAAATAACTAAATAAATAATAAATAAATAAATTTAAAAGTTTTTTATTTGAAATATTTTAACATTAGCTTGTATTCTAATTTTTGTGAAGGCACTTCAGTGGTATAACTAAAACTGCGAAGTGAAGAGGTGCTGTCACTGGTGTGTGTTTTAGAATGCCTTTAAACTATCTGCTATCTCTTAATTTTAAATCTGTTTAATTCTTTTCTTAAAATTTATAATAATTAATTAGAGAGTTCTTTAGTTTCTAATGTTGCTTGTTTCTACTGTAAGCCACCTTTTTTCTCTCCTGAGGAGAAGGGCAGGGTGTACATATTTTAGATAAATAACTAAAACTGTGTGCAGCATTCTCAGATTAGGAGAGTACTATTATGTATGGCGACTTTTGTGTTTTGCACTAACTTTACATAATTTTTTTACATTTTATTTGCATTTAGTGAACAAGAGAAGTGAAACAGTTTGTGTTAACATATTGTACCATCACCACTGAATGAATCTTCCTGTATTGTGTAGGAGGGGTTCCAATGTTTCACTCACCTTGGATATGTGCACGCCTGGCTGTACCGAGCAAGGGTTTGGGTATATCATGTCTCCAAGGGAACAGTCAGCTCAAGAATACCTCCAGACAGCATCAAATGTTCTCATTGCGGAGGTGCTGCACGAGAAAGCATTAGATTCTTTTGTACTCCAGACAGAATTTTTTGTAAGTATTCTGAACTTCCGATTTTCAAGACAGAAGTTTATAGCACTTGTAAAACCAAAGACAGCTGTGCTGGTCCATCAGAATAAAACTAAATCAAAATCCACAAGGAGGCAAAGCCTTCATTACAATGAACTAAAATTCCATAAAGATGTGGAAGCCTTCAGATTCGAAGCCTAAGGTTTCAAGATAAAGTGAAACTGCTTGTCCATGTAACCCCAGTCCAGTCCCTGGGCAGTCACCTGGGTGAAAAGTTGAGGACCCTTTTCAGCCTGGATAATTCCTATCTGAGAAGGGTTTCAGGGCTATATTCTAGCAGGGGATGGAACTAAGGGCACAGAGGAAGACCAAGATCAGAATAAATTAAAGGCAAAGGTTGCCCTTGACATTTAGTCCAGTTGTGTCCGACTCTTGGGTGCGGTGCTCATCCCTTTCTCCAAGCTGTAGAGCCAGCGTTTGTCTGTAGACAGTTTCCGTGGTCACGTGGACAGCACAATTAGACGTGGAACGCCATTACCTTCCCACTGAGGTGGTACCTATTCATCTACTCACATTTGAATGCTTTCAAACGGCTAGGTTGGCAGGAGCTGGGACAAGCGATGGGTGCTCACTCCGTCGCGTGGATTCAATCTTACGACTGCTGGTCTTCTGGCCCTGCAGCACAGAGGCTTCTGCGGTTTAACCCGCAGCGCCACCACATCCCTTTTCAGAGTAAGTTAGATTGTATCAAATGGGTAAACTTGCACTGATTTGAAGATCTATCTATCAAGCAAGCATACAAAGCACAACTCAGTTATAGGCATTACTTCTTTATATCCTTATGTCTTCAGTCATTGACTAAAGAAAGTAGCAGAAGAATCTTCCAGACTTCATGCGCAACCCCCAGAGTCTAGATGGGAAATACCCATCTGTGATCGACTGACTGGCAGTCACTTCCCAGCAACTTCTGGAGAAATTTCCTCCTGTTCTTTGACTGGCAACCCTAGCTCCCCAACAAAGCTGTCCTTTTCAGCTTTATGCAGGATGATTTTAGGACTGTCTCCTAGCAGAAGAAGTTTGTCTTTTTACTGCATGTTGTATTCTATGCTTGTTACACCAGAGGGATTGGCGGCAGCAACAGCAGCACTCAAAGCTTCTAGAAATTGCCATAAACAAGAGCCAGTACTGACTGAGATATGTGATATTCACTGGTGTGAATTGATTTTGTTGGTGATGGCCAACAAAATCAATCCTCCAACAACCCTCCAAGTGGGCTTCCACAACCCGTCAAGCCCCACAGTGTTTTATTTCTGACTGCCAGAGCAGACAAGGTAGGGGGGGCTGCCAATGACTTCTAGGAGGGAAACATACACAAGGTATATGTTGCCAGGGAGATCACTTGGAGATGGAGAAACACTGGCCCTGTGGCAACCTCTCTCTCTCTCTCTCTCTCTCTCTCTCTCTCTCTGTCTCTCTCTCTTCCTCTCTGCATAGTAATCCTGTGCAAAGTCAAAGCCTTCTTGTACCCTCTCTGCCCAAAGGATTATTGGATATTGTGTGTGTGCATGCATTTTAAACCAAGTATGGTTTTATCATTGCATTAGGTGCTATTCTCTCTGTGTGTAGATGTGTGTGCAAAATACAGAACTGCCTGAAATGCCACTAGAAGTGCAGAGGGAAGGGAATCATTTTTAAAATAATAAAACCTTAACTCTTTCATCCTGCACAAGGTTCACATTGTGCATTTTACATGTTTCCCTCCATAAAATGGCATTCATGCACCAGGGTGGAAACATTTTAACTTCCTGTAACTGATATTATTAGACAACCAAAGAATCAAGCAAACAACAAGTCAACAAAAACCTAAAATTGGTTTTCATTTATCCTAACCCCTGAACCCCTACAGCTGCCCTGAAACTGGAAAGGTTTTGTTTTTATGGGGCATGTATATACAAAAATCACTCACAAAACCCAGGGAGAAGCAAACACTTTTTATGGAATAGGTGTTATCTGAAGTCACCTGTTGCAGCCTAAACAATTAAAACAAGGCTCATGGCATCTTCAAGGCTAACTAGGTTTATCTGGCATAAACTTTTATTGACCGTAACCATTTGCATCTGAAGAAGTATGCAACAATCCATGAAAGCTTTTGCCAAATAATATGTATTAGTCTTGAAGGTGTAGTTTTCTGTCCTAGAAGCACTTTCTAGGAAGTTTTCATAACAGATTTGCTGCCCTCACTGCCATTCAGGGAAGGGGCCAGAATGTCAGCAACTCCCCTTCTGAGAAAAGTTCATTAACAGAAAAGCCTCCCTCTGTTCATCCACATATGCTATATATACTTGTCAGAAGGGGCAGATGTACCTGCAGATTGCATCCAGTTCTGTCAAAGAGTAAAGTTTGATAGGCAATGACTACAATAGTCATTGGGATGTCTGAGGCTTCGGATTTCTGAAGTGAAATTCTGATTCATTTCCAGATTGAATCAGGTGGTTTCTGAAGTTGTTTGACTTAAAATGGCTGCTCTTCAAATCATACCAAACTCCATACGAAATGTTGCTAGACATGTAGTGCTTTCTGTTTAATCACACTGTGCAGGTTTGCAGTTTGTGGTTTGAGTCACTGTGGCGGTTATAACATACAACTAAAATCAGTTTTCAGAAGCATTATGATATTCATAATTTTTTAAAAAGTCTGGACTTCTACATCTGCAAAAAAACATAAATTTATCAATTTTATTTTGGAAGTTGAAAAATTATAGAAATGTCAAAAGTCTTTGATCTAATTCCATTGCTGCCACAGCTTTCTGTTCAAGATATGAGATTAAGTATTTCCTAATCATTTCTTAGAGATTCCCTAAGGATTGTTTTGAAACTCTTATCAGTGGTTTCTGTTACATATTTTTCCAACAGGAAATTCCAATGAACTTTGTTGATCCAAAGGAATATGATATTCCTGGTTTGGTCCGAAAGAATCGCTACAAAACAATTCTCCCAAGTAAGCACCTGATCGATGCTATAGCCAGATTTAATCTGAGATTTCTTAAAGTATTTTGAGATCCATGCAGATATTTCCCATGTTTGTTTGTTTGTCTCTTTATTGGATTATGTTCCATCTTTTTCCCAAAACAAGAACTTGAGACAGGCTCATGTTTGTACATTTTTATAGAAGTATTAAAACATGGTAGAATCAATTTGATATTCTTGGAGCATAATAGGGCAGTGGTTAAACTGTAGTACTGCAGACAAGTCTTTGCTCATAACCTGAGTTTGATCTCAATAGGCTCAGGTAGCCGGCTCAAGCCTGACTCAACCTTTTATCCTTCCAAGGTTAATAAATTGAATACCCAGCTTTTTTGCTGAATCAATAAATTGAATACCCAGCTTTTTTGCTGAGGGGGGGCAATGTGTACCCTGTAAACCACCCAGAGACTGCTTTAAGCTCTATGTGTATAAGAAGCACACTCAACTTTGTTTTTTGTACTTGATAAAGGAGCATTGGAAATGTGCTACAGCACTGTCTCACTAAACTAAATTATTATTTTGGCTAGGTGATAGAGATTCACAAAGTGATCCTTGGATTTCTTTGGAAGAGAAAGGATGAAAAGGTGGTCAAAGTAACCTCTCTTTTTTTAACCACAGCTCCCAGAATTCCAGTAGCCATGCTGGCTGTGTGATTCTGGGAGTGACTATTCCAAGTTTTAGAAATGTTGGAATGAGTAAGGCCAGACATGCTAAGTAATCATGACTGTACATGATACTGTATCATAATCAAGAAGATCCTTTCTTCAGCAAACATTTAGCCTCAGCTAAATACCTGGAAACACAAGAAGGTGATGAGAGAGGAAAGGGAAAGGAGAGCTATGTATAGCTAATGATGATGAATTCCAAAGTAAACTCATTTTGCCAGGCCTTTCTAGCAGTCATTGGTGGCTTTTGACAGGGATAGAGGAAATACCCCATGAAATTCTGGGGTAAGCACTCCCTCTATGCAAGACATCTCTGCTCCCAGTGTTCTGTAGTGACAAGCAATCCTGCACACATGTCAGTAAACAAGACAAACACCACTACATGTACGTAGTCGCAAATCATCTGTCTATGTCCTTGAGGACTTGATCTGTTTCCTTGTTATGTGCCACTCATTACTTCTGATTTATAGCAATTCTATGAAAGAATGGCCACCAAAAGAGCCTATCACTAGCCACCCTGCTCAGGTCTTGCAAACAAAAGCTTTTGGTTTCCTTTATTGACTCAATCCATGTCATGTGAGCCTTCCTCTTTTTTTCTGCTACCTTCCACTTTACCTAGCATTATTGTCTTTTCAAGCAAGTTTTTTCTTCTTCTTTAGTAATTTTAACTTGTAGTGAGATTGTGTAGTTTACCTAAAATCATTTTATTGCTGTTACTTCATAGTAGACAACAGCAAGTACTGGATTAAAGATGTTGCCTGCAAAGCAGAAGATGTTGCTTGGCAGGGCGGGTAGTTGAAATATTTAAGGTTGCTTAAAACAGATGTTCACTCCAGTTAGAGCTGAAAGGTAAACAGGCACTTAACTTAATGATCAGTTGTCTGCAACTCCACATTTAATTGCAGTTAGTGGGAGAAATGATAATAGTCTTTAATTCAGCTAATTTATATTTCATTTGTAGGAAATATTTTTTGCAGATTTACACATTTGTTTGGGGTAAAAAAAATATTTTTTAAGGTGATCACTTCCCAAAGAACTCATTACTTGATGTGTCTTTTCCCCTTTATTTCATGTTTTGGGCTCAAAAGTGCCAGCCTAGAAAAAGGAAAATGATGGATTTCAGGGCCCCCATATCCAAGCTCCGTTGTTCAGTGTCAAGAAAATCTAGAAATGTTAGGAAAAATCTGTTGTCCAGTGTCAGGAAAATCATTGTTAGGAAAATCAGTGTCAGGAAAATCTGTTGTTCAATGACATGAACATCTACCAAAGCAATGCAAATGAACATTTTTACCTTTACTAATTCTGGGATGGGCATGAACCAGCAGTTTGTGCCAGGTTATTTTTCAGTGGGCACTGCCTCTAAGTGGGTGCCTGTTGGAGGAGGTGAGGCTGGGAAGCACCAGAAAACTCCTTAGTGCAGTGATGCAAATGGAAGAACAGGTTTTTTAATTTGGAAAAGGAATAACTGTCATCAAGACATTGCAATAAGTATTGGAACTCCTTGCTTTGTTAGTGTTGGCATTACCTTTTTTCTGCCACATCATATGATGCTAAGAGCCAAAGTTGAGATGGCCTTGAAAGAGCATTGGACAAATTCATGGCTTAGACATTTATGCCTGTCTGCAGCTTCTTATACATGTTAGCTAGGTACCATGCTACAGAATAATACTTATTCCTGCTTGTAGATTTCCCTGTGGTACCTGGGTAGCCATTTTGGGAGTCAAAATGTGGAACTGTTTGGACTTTTGTTCTGACCCAAAGCTTATAAGTGCCATCAAGATTATTAACAGTGGATTGTCAAGAAAAAACTGGCCAGAATCCTATTGTGTACTTATGCAAATGTAAGTGCAAAGGAGCAAAGATGTATAGCACAAAGACAAATGTCTGCTAGTTGAGGAATCCCTCCTCATATTTCTTATGGTATGCCAGATCATGTTCTGGAATATGATAAGGCACGCAAATGGCAGTTTCTTAACTAGTGGCAGCTGGCCATCATACTTTATCCTGCATGCAATAAAGTTCTGACCATTAAATTCATTGGTGTTAAGTATAAAGAGTAACATTTAAAATTAGTTACATAATTGTGAACCAAAACTGATTTAAATCACCATTTTTTTAAAAAAATGGTTTTAAATTACTAAAAATGGACAAAAATGGTCAATAAAACACAGAGTTATACCCCTAAAGTAACAGATTAAAGCAATATGAAACAATAATTGTTAATAACGAAAAAAGTATTTGGCATTTTGATTTAGGCATCCTTCAGTCTTGAGAGACTATGGTAACAGGCTCTGTATGGAGGACTTGGAACAGCGTCTAATATGGCTGAGAAGGCCAATTCGAGAGTGATGATCCCTTCCACGCTGGAGACAAATACAATCTGTACCCCATCCAGCTCCCTGATTTTGCTGGTTTTGGGACTCCATCTTTGCCTTGGCCTGCTGGACAAGGGTCTCTTCAAATTGGGAGAGGCCATGATGCACTGCCTGCCTCCAGGCTGAACACTCAGATGTCAGGGTTTCCCATCTGTTGAGGTCCATACCTAAGGCCTTCAGACCCTGCTAGCAGATATCCTTGTATCACAGCTGTGGTCTCCCTCTGGGGCGATTTCCCTGCACTAATTCTCCATACAGGAGATCTTTTGGAATCTGACCACCAGCCATTCTCACAATATGCCCAAGCCAACGTAGACGTCATTGTTTCAGTAATGTACATATGCTAAAAATTCCAGCTCGATCCAGGACTACTCTATTTGGAACTTTGTCCTTCCAGGTGATACCAAAAATGCATCGGAGACAACGCATATGGAAGGTGTTCAGCTTCCTCTCCTGCCGTGCACAAAGGGTCCAGGACTCACTGCAGTACTAGAGTACTTTGGAGTAATTTGGCATTTAACAGTCAAAATAACTAACTGTAAATCCATTGTTTAAGATTTTGGTAACTAAAGGTGATAAAATCATTTTTAATAAATGACTTCCAAGGTCTGATCTAAATTATCAAGATAGCTGTCATGTTCTTAAGACCAAATCTGCAGGTAACATGCTAACGGTGTTCCAGGTTCCTGATAAAAGGCTGTGCTTTGGTTTTGGTTTGGTTATTTTGTTGCCTGATCCTTTTTTTTTGGCATTGTGAGTATTTGTATAGTTGAGAAAAGAGAGAATGGTCTCATACTTCCTTTAAGCCTATAACTCTTTACTCTTGGTTTCTGCTTTCCAGATCCTCACAGTAGAGTGTGCCTTACATCAGATGATCAAGATGATCCCTTGAGCTCTTACATCAACGCCAACTACATCAGGGTAAGAACTAAGCAGTCTTATAAGGCTTCTTTGTATCAGCTGTATGCTTGGCTTCAGCTTGTTATGAACATCTGCAGAAATCCATGGGTGATCATTTCAGTGCCGCTACTCACTCACATGCATGTACCCATTTGCCTACATAATACTGTTAAATCTTACAGACTAAAATGCATTTGCAACTATTGGAAATGCCAGCTGTTGATGGTCTCTAATACTGAATGTTTGCCATCTTTATTGCCTTTGCCACAGCTTTTGGAATCCACTAAGAATCCAAAGACTGCTTTGCCTAACAATGTGGAGTCCCGAGGGGAAAAAAAACTTTAAAAAAAAATAGAAGGGAAAAAATTCCCCTTTCCTTAGAAAAACTGAAGGAAAGTTTTGGTTTGTGTGTGTTTTTTTAAAAGGGCCTTCATTATTCTAGTTATGCTGTATTATGCCTTGAGGAATTTAGCTTTGCTTAACTGTACATCTTGAATAAAGTAAAAAATTTTTCATTGCCATAGCAAACATTGCTACTTGTAAAAACTGAAGCGGTGCCTTCTGTCCTTGGTCTGTGTGTATCTTTGTATGTATGAGAGAGAGCAAGACAGCATGTACACATTTATTCTGATTTGTCAATAGTCAGTGGATAAAGACAGCAAGACTGAGGTATACGTGTGTGTGGCTTGACACTAATGTACCCTCATTTCTTTGTTGGCAGGGCTATAGAGGAGAAGAAAAGGTGTACATTGCTACTCAGGGACCCATAGTTAATACCGTCAGTGATTTCTGGAGAATGGTGTGGCAGGAGCATTCGCCAATTATTGTCATGATTACCAATATAGAAGAGATGAATGAGGTAACGCTGAGCTTCTATTCTCTGTGCTGCTTAGTAACTGATGTTTCCACACATCAGATTCTTACCCTGTGGAGAGTGCTTAATGGATTGTGGTCAGCTACCATTTTCCCTTCCAGTCTAATCTATGTCTGCAGCACTACTTAGATGTTCCCAGGGAGACCAGGATGGTGTATATTTAGAGAGATATGCCTACACGCACACACACACGCGCGCACGCACACACACACACACACACACACACACACACACACACACACACACACACACACACACACACTGTAAGGACATATTTGGTTAGACCTCCTTTCATGAATGCACAAAAGTCTAGTAGGTTCCAACAGTTTCTGTATTAACAAAAGGTACAATTAAGCCTAGTTTTTCATTGATACCTCTTATTTCAAAAATTAAATTGTGCTGTGAGACTCAGTTATAAGTATAGGCTATAAGCTCCTTCTCACTGTCATTCCTGCACCGATATTCCTCATTTTTCACCCTGCCTCAAATTGCTGAATGAATACCATGTCTTGTCGATGCAGAGTTGAAACCTTTGTTCTGCTGTGATGCTAGGAAAAAAGTCTTTGTGTTCCTGCTATATACATTAATTCTAATAATGCAAGGATTATTGGCTCAGTATTTTAGTACTCTTGTCAGGTCTAATCTGAACTGACAGACAGCCCACGGAAAGGTGTGGGTGTTTTTACTTCATTTTAGCTGTTTTGAAGTCTGGGCTATAGTTAGCTACTAGCACATTTGACAGGATTTTATTTTATTTTGTTGCAGTGGATGGATATGCAAGGAGGGAATGGTAGGAGAGTGGGGATACACGGAATTTGTGAGTGTTTGATACAAGAAGTGGTAGTGGCAGATTTTCCTGATGGTATAAAACTGGTGGCGTTTCATTGATTTGAAAGATCAGCAACAGTTTGTGCTTCAGGACAATTTAGGTCTTTGAAGGGCTGTTGTTTTCTTCGGTTGAATTTTGTTTAGCCTTCACTCATAAAAATTTCTGCTGGAGGCCAAGACACAGCAGTTAAACCACCATGCCAGGATCATAACATTGTGCATTTCTATGCTTTCACTTCCCAAATAACACTGAGTTATGAGGGATGATGGAAGTTACAGACCAACAATATAGAGAGGAATATGCGTTCCTGATTGTAATACAAGTTGGGTGCTCCAAACTGTGTTTTCTATTATATAGGCTTATCTTAGAAATATTCTGGCATGATGAAATGCCAAATGACCATAAAAATCCGACAGAGATAGAGAATTCTCTGATTATGGAAACTTTTGAATCACAGATTATCCATATGCATGATTGCTATTTTGGTTTTAGAGGAGTGTCATCCTGTTTACATTTCAAACATTTTCCCCCTACGTAAGTGTTGATTTTTCCATCAGTGATATTTTCAAAACAGACTGCAGCTAAAGTGTAAATCCTCTTGTAGATCAAAACTTTTAAAAGCCAGGAGGAAGTGTTTGGTGTATTTTTAATCATAGGTCTAGTGACAGATCCATACTGGAAGAAAGCTTCTGTATCCTGAAGGGAATTGCAAAAGTTTCCTATGCAGTTCTTTTTGTCACTAACGAAACTACATTAGGTGGGAATTTTCACTTTTATGTGGTTCTTAAAGTACAGGATCTAGCCACCAGAAAGTTTCAAAAACAGTTTTTGGTGTGCTTTCTGGATCTGTTGTTCAGAAACAAAAGTCAACAATTCTGGTGGGTGGTGGATATAATTTGAAGTTGCTCTTCGGACTGGTTCTTTGTTTTGTTTTGTTACATTTCATATTTTAACTGGTTAAAAAAACCCCACAAAACTGCACCCAGAATTTACTTAAATATATGCTTCTCCCTCTTCTTTTACAGAAGAGTCACGTTTACTAACTATCTCCTTTTTAAATCTATGGTTTATGTTTTTCTCAGAAATGCACTGAATACTGGCCAGAAGATGAGGTTACCTATGAGGAAATTGAAATCACTGTTAACAGAGTCATACAAGCAGATGATTACCGGTTAAGGCTTTTTACCCTTAAGGTAAGATCACTCAGATGTCTGTGGAACAGCATGAAATATTCTATCCAGGATTAAGATATCGCCAAATTGCCCATTGGTACCCATTCGATGCAACACGGCAGAAATAATCACATTATATGGCTGCATTGATGATGCCTCGGTCCAGCTTCTGATCAGGTAGGCAGCACAATGATAGAAGCAGCTGGGCATTTTTCTTGAGGTTGGTACAATTCAGAGACTTTCCTGACACCTGTTTGTAACATGCACTTATTTATTGGAAGAGCCCTGTGAAGCTTTTCACACAAGTGACTGATGTTTGACCATGCTTTCTCAGTAAACATTTCAGCTAGCTCTTCAATGTTATTCCAGATTATATTTGGTTTAAGGGACACAGCTGTGTTTGAACCATGCCATCCCAGTTTCTACAGATCCCTATGTTCTTTCAGGTTAGATGTGGCAGATCATCAAGTTTTGTAATCAATCTGAGTTTAGTACTAATCTATCATAAATGTGTGCTGCAGCTGAGCCCATTAACCTGACGGCTGTTGTGCTGGAGAAATGCTATGCCACAAAATGAAAGCTGCACAAAATTCACCTAAAATTGACAACAGATGTGGGCAGCCTCCACAGGGCCAAGAGCCATTTCCCAGATTTGCCACCACTTCCAAGGGGATTGGAGCTAAAAGGGTAAATTTGCATTTCATTTATTCATAAAAGAATTCAGGTGGTAGTTATTGGTAGTTCAGCACAGTGTTAATGTTTCCAGTCAGATGCTGTAAGGTTGAAGCAAACAGTCTGCTGACCTATAGCTCCAATTCAGGCACAGCATTGGGCTGCCATAAAGTGAAGCATACAGAATTAATCAGCATGCCTGCAAACTGAGCAGCATCTTTGTTGATTCAGGAGGATATTTTTTTTTAAAGTAAGCCTTATAGCTTATGCTTTCATAAAGGGTGACATGAGGAATATGTAATTGGAAATAGCTATCTGTCTATCAGGATATAAATACATTTTCTGACTGTCTATGTAGCTCACATTTTTAACTACATGGTTTTATCTTGGTTAAGCTCTTTGCTTAGATGAAGAACAGCATGAGAACATGACTATTAAAGTCCTTAGAAACGGGTGCCATGACAGTTAGTGTGTTATCTTAAGCTGTGATTTTGCTTTTAGGACAGCAGAAGATGACAGCAATGCTGCTGTACCAGCAGTTTTTATTGTTTATTTATTTAATGTGTTCCCCCTGTCTGGTTGTTTATAAAACCTGTTGTGGTGGATTACTAGTTTAAGTGACACTTCATTAACATGGGAGAAAATGCAGGAAAAACAGTGCAGTGAAAGAGACATCAAGCATGGTGTACACTGATCAGGAAATAGGTGGACTTTTACCTGCCCAAATAAATTGGAGTAGGGAAGAAGGAGGTATGAATCTCCATAACCTCCGTGGGAGAAGTTCTGTAATAATCAACATGCAAGAGAATTAGTTCTGCTCCTGATAGAAACCAGCCAGGCTCCCTTGAAAAGTGGGATCCAGAGTCTTGTGCTGAGGAGGCTCCTATGGGAAGAGAAGAACCCTGTGATATCAGGATTGAAGGCATTTTGGAACTTTGAAGCAGAGATTGAGAAAGTTACTTCGTTTAGATGACAAGTTCAAGAATCTTCCAGACAACATACGTAGCCACAGGTCCTGCTGGTTAAAGATTCTGTGAGTTTGGGAACTTTCCAAATCTCTGCTTTAATGGTCAGAAGAAGTGCTTTGAATTGGGCTGGTGGCTAGTTTTTAGAACAGGGATGATGGGGGGACGCATGGTCTACACTGCAGGACAGTCTCCACCAGGCTTCTTATTTCTCCTCTGTCTCGAGCTCTAGTTCCTCTCACACTACGGCAAGGCTTTTCAAAAGGTGGCAGTGGTTCTGAGTTTTAAAACCTGGTTCAGTGGGTGAGTAGAGACAGGCTATTTACTGTGGTTCAGTGCTTTAATGCAATTTGTTGGATTGGGCCCACAGGTGCTGTGGGGGTGCCATAGATCCTGCACTCTTTACTCTTCCCGTGGGTGCCCACTCAGAGGAGGAGGAGGAAGTGGGGCAAGGAAGCCCAGGATGCTGCTTCTGATGGGGCACCTGCGGGAGGAGGCAGTGTGTGGAATCTGGGGCACCTGCACAACACTGTGGACCCAATCTGACAAACTGGGACAAACTGTGGTAAGTGCCCATCTCTAGTGGCAAGGGAACAGTGATGGCTGCTTGTGAACAATAGGTCACTTTGCTCACTGTGAGATGTGATCACACCTGCTCCTGGTTTGTGGTCTACAGTAAGTTTGTCCAGACTAATTTGTCCCTGGGGCTGCAATCTGTTTGTCGTCTCAGTACCGTATATACTAAGGTGAAGTGTTCCAGTTTGCCAGTCTCAGAGTACAATCAGACAGGTGTAAAGCCTGCTGTTTGGTCCACTGAAGGGATGAATTGGTTTGCTCCTTTTTCTGGTGATCATGCAACATAATTGCTAGAGCAGGGGTCTCAAACATGCAGCCCCGGGGCCATTTGTGGCCCGCCAGATGATAGTTTGTGGCCCCCACCTTGCCTGCCCTCGGAAGCACCCACATGTCCTCTGCTATCAAGAGTCAAAAAAAGCCTCACCTTGCTCACCGTCTCTCTCCCAAGACAGCGCCTCTTGCACCCTCCATCTGGAACTGCAGCCTGCCAGCCGGCAGAGAGACAAGCTGGCTGGCAGGCTGCAGTTCCGGATGGAAGGTGCAAGTGGCACTGTCTTGGGGGAGAGCTGGCGAGCGATGCCTGAGAGCGGAGCTTGCTCCTGGCCCATCCTTGAAGAGCGCCTCCAACGGTGCCTCCAACAACATCTGACACCGCTGCCGCCTCTTCCAGGGAAGTGGTTCTCTGGCTCTCTTTCTCTCTCAGCACCCCTAGCACCAGCCCAGCCAGCAGCCACCTCAGCGCCCAGTGGTGCTTCCTCCTCCTCCTCTTTGTCCTGCTTCAGCCGCCTTAGCTCTGGAGGCAAAGTTTGCTCCCCTGTCATGGTGGGGGTAGCTGCTGCTGCGGGGAGGCCCTCAGAGGAAGGTTGCCAGACCTCTGTGTGTGTTTGTGTGTGTGCGCACGTGTGCACCTGTGGGGGGCCCGCCCCATTCTGTTTAATTTTGCAGGTACCGACGGGGCTTTTCTTCTTTGGCAAGGCTATTCTGTGAGTTTTTTGGTTTTTTTTTTTAATCTGATGCAGCCCAGCCTCACCCAGACTCTGCCTCCAGTGTCCCCCAGGTAATTTGAGTTTGAGACTCCTGTGCTAGAGGAAACCAAATTGCTACCCACGCCTTTCTGGCCCCTTTTCAGGGGCTTCTACATTTTTGATATGAGTAGGATCGCTCTAGTTTGGTCTGTTTCCACTGTGTGTGTGATTGTTGGGAATGGACCAAAAGCAAGCATTCTGGCTGTCAAGGCCCTTATTTGTTTTCAATTTCTGATAATGAGAAGTGACTTAATAAGTGAGCCACTTCCGGCTATTGGCAAACTGAATACTTCCTCTGCACTTTGGCAAAGGGACAGGGGAAGTGGGGGAAAATGTGTAAACTCTGGCAGACCATCATTAATGTGCAGCATCACTTATATAAAAATTCTGCTTTGCCTTAAGGGACCAGGTGGGAAACTGCTTGCAGCTAAAGCCACAAATGCAGCTGTGGGCAGTTTCTTAATTGGCCCTTCAGACAAGAACCAAATAGAGTCACTTGAGGATTACACCATATGGCATGATACACACCATCCAATCCCAAGCTTATAGCAGCCCGCTCAAAAATGACCAGTGTATAATGCTACTTTAACACTTAGGGCATTGTGGCACTAGAACTCTCACCTTTGGACAACGTATTTCTTTGGGCAGAGTGTGTGAGTGATTGAGTGTGGCTTAAATAAATTATAATGAACTTTATGCAGTGAATAAAATATTTCAGTAAGGAACCTACAGAGCAGATTGGCTTCAGATCTCCATTAGTAAACCACCCCTTATTTGTTAGTTTACCTCAACTGGCACTTACTGTCTCAACACATTCACTCAGAGACTGATAATGGGAAAGAATAAAATGTTTCTGTTTACTTACAGTTCTTCATAGATAAAAACAAACATTATCTTGTGTAAAAATGTTAATTCGTTACATCACTGAGCTTAACTTGTTAACCAGCTTCATTACTGACTAACTGACTGGTTACATAACTAACAGAACACCTCTCTCTAACTGTCCACTTCTGACAGATGCCATTGATAACACTAACAGATCCCTGACTGGAAAAAGGGCAGGAAAAATAATTCTGAGCTGGAGAGGAAACAGTTATCTGTTACTGAAGTGACTGACATCTACCCCAGACTAGAAAGGTCCCTTGCCTTGTAAGCAGGTTACAATATTTCCGACAATATTTTCTGACAACCCAAATAACTCTAAGGTGCCAAGTTAGGGCTGCTCCTTAGGGCTTTTCCTACCAAAAAACAAATTAAGTACTGGAGATGGAAAATTTGAATTATTCTCTAGTGCTTCTAATCCTCTTTCTAAATGTCTAACAGAAGGGTGAAGAAATAAGAAGTCTGAAGCACTACTGGTATACATCTTGGCCAGATCAGAAGACCCCTGATCAAGCACCGCCATTGTTGCAGCTGGTTCAAGAAGTGGAAGAGGCCATGCAGAGCACAGAAGAAAAGACAGGTCCAATCATAGTTCATTGCAGGTAGATTAATTATATTTATCCATGAATAACCATTGAAAGAAAAGAAAGGAAAAGGGATGTTTAGGTTGTTCTCTATCTCGATTAACATTCCTTTGAAGAAGAGTTTATTAGCAATGTTAATTTTCTTTTAATTTTCTCAAGTGTTTTCTCTTTTAGTTTTGTTTTTGGCATTGTTACACCTAAAGTAAATACCACTTGTTCAAGCTGTGTGTGGGCAATGAAGAAGTATAGTGTAATATTCTTTTTGTTGATCTTTTCCATAAACATAAAACAAGTGAGAAGGTAATATGCTATATGAATGCACCAAAATGTGCTAGTATACTACGTTTCATATGTTGAATTTTAAATTAGTATTAGACAGGTGAGATGGCTGTTTGCATGATGGAATGAATGAACTGAGTAAGAGGCTGAATGTATGTTGGGAAAGGTCATTATCACAGTTGGGAAGGGAAAAGAAAATGCTTTCTTTTGTTTTTCTGAACCCAAGACGAATGAGAAGAAGTAGAAGAAGCACGGTTCAGTTTGATAGATAGATAGATAGATAGATAGATAGATAGATAGATAGATAGATAGATAGATAGATAGATAGATAGATAGATAGATAGATAGATAGATAGATAGATAGATAGATGGACGGACGGACGGACGGACGGACGGACGGACGGACACCCTGCTTCCCCAAAAATAAGACCTAACCTGAAAATAAGCCCTAGTATGATTTTTCAGGATACTCATAATATAAGCCCTATCCCAAAAACAAGCCCCAGTCAAGTGAAACCCCACCCACAACCATTGTGCACCAACCAGAAGAAGATGACATGACCATCTTTGAATAAATGTTGTACATGAAAAAATAAAACATCCCCTGAAAATAAGCCCTAATGCTTTTTTGGGAGCAAAAATTAATATAACACCCTATCTTATTTTTGGGAAAACATGGTAGACAGATAGATAGATGACAGTATAACAAGTAGTGCTATAGAGTGAAATGTGCAGAGGGGTAGAGAGTTAGAATTTGATAGGTTTGCATGTCGATTGAGCGGTTAGGATTAGGCTTATGTTAGATATTAGATCTAAAATCTATTCCTTCTTCATGTCCTCTATGAATCACACTCCGTATGCGCAGAACCTCATCAGAATATTCTAGAGCTTCGTTGAGCGGTTATGATTAGGCTTATGTTAGATATTAGATATAAATGATATCCCTTCTTCGTGGCCTCTATGAATCACACTCCGCTTCTGCAGTAGCAAAAAGATACATTAGTGCAGACCCCTACTCCCTGATATATTGCCTTGGTGCCAAGACTCCCCCTTCAGTTTCTTTTCAACCGCCGCGTTGAGAGCCTCAATCTGTGAGTTTTTCTAAAAAAGAAAAAGAAAGAAAATTATTTACTACTTTATTATTTCAAAATTTCTTTATTTATCATCATCATCATCATCATCATTAAAATACCACTCTGGCCCTCCAGCAAAGGCCCCCTTCTCCCCTTCTCTGGTTTTCGGTTCATGGCCTCTCCACTTTCTGACAGCACGCTAAGTGCCTGTTTTGCCTCGGTGAGGCTCATCAAACCTCTTCCTGCCCTCACTGCAAAAACTTCGAATGCGGTGTTCTCCACAGTCACCTTTCTAGGCTCAAACTTCGGCTTTGGGAACAGTCTCTCCAGCCTGCAAAGCCTATGTACGGCCCAGCCTTCCTGTAAATCTGTACCCCACACTAAAGACATGGATAAAGCCATTTCCAATGTGGCAAAACAATGCCCTTCGGCTACTCTAGCTTGTTCGAGAACCTGTCTTGCCCCCGACGTCGACTCTATCGACTGCCCCACAAGGTCACAAAACCAAGCATTCGACATTGAAACCTTCGACATTGAAGACAGCCACCAAATGGAAATCAGGTGCTTTCCTCAGCACCTGAACCTTTACCACTGAAGAAGACGAAGTCTTCAAAGTCAAAACCCTCCAAAACATGTCTCCACTCTGACTCCACAACCACCTGATTCTGGAGACCTCATCTGTGTTGGATCTCTCAGATGACAAGGCACTTCCACCTCGCCAGCCGTCACCATCGCCAATGGGAACAGTGTGTCGACTGACTCAGGACTTCTCCTACTAGCCCTCAACAATTTTTGGGCTCTCCTAGTGAGTCTTCACCAGTTGCTTCACCGAACATCCACGGCACGGAAACGCAACTTGAAAACATGCCTTACTCTGCCCCAGTAGGCCTACCACCTTGGCCACCAGCACATTAACAGAGGCACCAATCTTACAAACACGTCTGCTTGCCTTCTTGCATGGACATGGCTTACACCCAGCACCATCATCAGGATGCCTTTTGCCCCAATCAGTGCCTAACAGAGAGGCCTGCCAAGCACTATTGACCATTTGTTTTCCCTGGTTCGGCAGTAGCACCAGAGCATTTTGTCCCCACACGGTAACCTTTGGTGTCAAAGCAATCTTACTACTATGATCGCCCAGAGTTACCAGGCACCTCCTATCAGTCAACACCAACGAAACCTAGATGAGTTGATCAACACTCTTCGACTCCGGTCACTATTGTGGCACCGACAATCTACTATTTTCCTACCCACCCAGATAACTGCAGTCGTTCATCCCACTCGGCGTCACCAGCATCTGTCTATTCCACTGTCATCCGATGTGGTCCATCGCCGCTCTTGCCACCTCAGCAGCCATTTTGACACCAACAGCATCTTCCATATCAACACCAGCTCCATGACTCCAAAAATGTCGATGACTCTCGATATTGACTGCTGTCGACCAACGCACCTTCTGATCCTTCTTGGAGGACCATCCTCAGAGAGTACAACTTGGGTCTAGATGGGCAGAGTATAAATAAAATCAATAAATACCACCAAATTCTGCATGGTTACCCTCGGGTCTGTCCTCCCACTATTCCACAAAAAAGACTGGTTCACAGTTATAGACCTCAGAGACGCCTACTTCCATGTCTCTATCCATCCCTCTCACAGGCCTTACCTGCGTTTCCAACTCGGAACCCAGGCTTACCAATTCAAAAGACTTCAGTATGGGCTCACGACGGCTCCCCGAGTATTCACCAAATGCATGACCCCTGTGGCAGCATACCTCAGGCTTCACAAAACTCACATTTTTCCATACATCAACAACTGGCTTCTTGTTGCTCACTCCCATTGCAAAGCATAACAAGACGTCCGCTTCACTTTTTCTCCCCTTCAAGATCTCAGCCTCACAGTAAGTCTTCAAAAATCCACATTGATGCCTTCGAGAGTAATCCATTATATACTGTAGGAGAAATTGTAGACTCCAAACATGCTCCAGCTTTCTCTCAACAGACAAAAGTCTCAATTTAATTTCTTTGCTCCATGCCTTCACTCCTCACGCATATGTATCTCTAATGGTCCAACGCGTGTTAGGCACAATGGCTTCAATGACCTCTATGGTCCAGCATGTCTGCCTCAAAATGGCATCACTTCAAGCATGGTTCCTGGCCTTATTCATCTCGCTGATAGATCCACTACATACTCTACTTTGAGTCACTCCAGAACTCGTCTCCCAGCTTTCATGGTGGTACTCCACACAAAACCTGACATTGGGATGACCTTTTCAACAACCTCGTCCACAAATCCAGGTTACCACAGATGCCAGCCTCACTGGCTGGGGTGCCCACTGCCAATCCCTACAAATCCAGGTCTAGTGGTAGCGAAGAGAAATAATGCTCCATATCCACGAGCTAGAACTACTAGCAGTAATAAAAGCCTTAAAGAATCACCTTATTGGCAAAATGGTTCAAATAGCCACAAACAGCATCCCCACAATGTACTATATTCTTAAACAAGGGGGTACTCACTCCCCAAGTCTCCTATATTTCGCTGTCGACCTGTGGGAATGGGGCCTCTCCCATCACATTCGTTTCACGGCAATCCATGTAGCTGGTCAGGACAACAATCTTGCAGATTTACTCAGTCACAAAGAATCTCAAGCCCACAAGTGGGAACTAGATCAGACTGTCTTTTTCTCTCTGTGCACACACCAGGGCACACCCTTTGCACACTCTTTGGCTCCCAAACAAACCAGAAGTGCAAATGTTACTGCTCCCGGGCAGGAGTTAGCAAGAACTCTCGCAGCGATGCCTTTGTCGGCTGTTGGCCCAAATCACTCACTTACCTCTTTCCACCGTTCCCACTTCTCCACAAGGTGGTAGTCTGTCTTCAACAGGACAGGCCCAACGCTATTCTAGTAGCTCTGTGGTGACCACGACAGCCATGGTTCCTGATTCTCCACCAGCTGTCATCCAAAATTTATCACCTGCCCCGCCTGCCTCGCTTGCTTACACAAGACAAAAATGAAATTCTCCACCCAGCTCTCCCTGCCCTTCATCTCACAACGTGGGGGATTCTGCCTCCCTGATGTCCTTCATCATTCAAAGAAACCGTCAACTAGGAAGGCCTACATGTATAATTGGGGGAAAATCCTAGTCATTCACTACATGGTCATCGCTATCCTCAATTAACTCTTCTCTTACCACTGTTCTTCATTTTCTATTACAATTAAAAACTAAGGGCCTTTCTCTTTCATCACTCAAAGTTTATCTTTCGGCAATTGTGGCCTATCAACCACCAACCTCTCCAGCAGCTAAGTTTTTCAGACATCCTACTCTGAAACGTTTCCTCAAAGGACTGTCACACATGTATCCTGACATACATCCTCCATTGCCTCAATGGTCATTGACATTAGTTCTCTGGCACCTTACAAGGGCCCCGTTTGAGCCCCTTGCCTCAACTGACCTCAGATTACTTACTTTTGAGACACCATTCCTTGTAGCTATCACATCAGCTCACCCTGCTAGTGAACTGGCAGTCTTGAGGTCTGGCTACCCTTATCTCCAGTTTTACCTGGATAAAGTCAAACTCTTTGTAGATATTTCTTTCCTGCCCAAGGTTGTCTCCCAGTTTCACCTATCTCAACCCTTGGTTCTTCCGTCCTTTTTTCCATCTCCATCTAAT